ATCTATCCTATTCATCAGTCCATCTACTCTCTTCCATATGCACACATCTATCCATTCATGCCCTTCATCTGCCTTTACCAACAGCCATCAATCCATCCATCCATCCATCCCATTCATCTACCCATCCATCCTCACTCATATAAATCCATCTATTCATTCCAATGAACAACATCCTTCTACCTCACTCACCAATCCATCTAACTAACCCACCCATCTACCTTCACCCAACCACAAAGATCCATTAGTCATTCCTCTTCCTTGCATCTTTTATTTAATGAGGGTCTACCATTCACCAAGCACTGTGTAACATGGGACACAGATCACACATTAAACTCATTGAAAACTGTATCTGCATGAATCTTTCTGCTATTGCATATCAAGGTGTAGTTCAGGTAAGGCTTGACACATAAGTATAACTGAATCAAAGAAAGAATAAGCAGCCCCTGTTTTTGAGAACTCACAGTCTAGACAGAAGACTGACATTAAGAATTGTGACTTGGTGAGGCAGTTACATATCCACCATGAACTGAACAGGAGTGGGACTGAGGTGAGCCTTCTTAGCTGTGTGAATCACCATGATTCCCATATGATCAAGAAACCAAAGTAAAACAGACATGTCCCATCGTGCCAGGTCTGCATGGTTCCCATGGATACTGACATGGGTCTCTGGATCACACAGGATCTGACTTTCTTGCCTTAGGCCACCTATCTCTGTTACCTGAGGTTCTATGTGAACACTACCAATATTGCACTGACCTCACTCATGCTTCCTAAGCTCCATTTTGTCTGTTTCCACCAGTTCAGGCTGATCCAACAAAACTTCTCAGACATCTATGTGTCTGGGAGACACCAGAGTCCCTGAACATCTTCCTGGAGGAATAGTAAAGAGGAGCACTTAACTCTAGGCACAAGGAGACTGCCAGGTGCCTGCTAGGCAGCTGGAGCCCAATGCAGAGGGATTTCCAAGCTCAGAGGCCAAATGACAGCTCGGTAGAGAACACTCCATTTGGGTACCCACTGTAAACATCCAAGAAATCTAGTGATGGCTACTGAGAGGACGTTAAAAATAATTACCCTCTGAAAATATTAGATTTGCTCTGGATTGTTCATTACACACAATGGTTTAATAGGGCTTTTATTGAATAGCTGCAGAGCTCTGGGCCGAAATCAATTTGCCTTACACGCGGAATTTTGATGTGTGCTGTTGACTTCCCCAACACGGAGCAATTTGTAATAGCTTTGGCTCGCTGTTGTTTTCAAAGCTCCCTGCTACATCACAAGCATTTATTTCTGACCACAAAATTACATTTATTCAACAGAAAGCAGCTCTGGGTCTTTAAGAGGTTAACTTCTGGAGTGCTTGGCTGCTCTCCAGCGCTGAGGAGGAGCGCGGGCGCAGTGGCCCCCTGTACACAGGGGTGGCAGCGCCAGGCGGGCGGCCGTGATTAATAGAGTGCTGAGTGTGCGCCTTTCCACATGCGAGCTGCTCAGACCCCGGCTCCCATAGATCATGGGCTCGGTCTCAACATATCTGACTAAAATTGAATTTGGCTTCTCTCTCAACCGTTCATTTCCTATGTTATGCAAGGTTATATCCTTTTCTGCATGAGCAGAGCTAAACCAGCTGCAGCTTCGGAGGGGAAAATGTGCTTTCAATTATAGAGCTGGCCTACTTGCCTCAGCACAGTCCCGCGTGCCTTTAATTGAGCCATCACCCAGCCAACCTCCAGGAGGACCCTGTGCTGGTTCGGCCTTGGGGTTTTGCTCTAAGATCTTTAAAATGCACCATTCCCATTGCCACCTTAGCCACAGTGGTCCCTTCCACTACTCCAGAAGGGCCCAGGGCTTGAGGGTAGCTGAGCTGGATAAGAAAGAGGTCCAGGGCAGAGGGCCACACAGGAGAAGGTATTAGTCAGTCTGACCTATCCTCAAGGTGGCTAGAGCTCTCTCTTGCGCTCTACAGGGACCCCATTAAAGATACTTTATTTACTTACTATTTGTCTTATTGGTGCTAGGGATCAGCTCCACGGCGTTATGCATCCCATTTAAGAGCTCTACCACTGAGCCATAACCCTGTCCCACTCTGTCCCTTGCTGGGGGATTCTAGACAAGTACTGTACCACTAAACCATCTTCCTAGTTCTTGGTTGTAAAGGAAATTGTTTCTAACACAAGTAGGTTGGATGACTATTGTTGGAGCACATAGGCAGTTTTTTGCAAGGTTAAAAAAGTTTCTATTTATAGCTTGCTAATAGTTTCTGTTTAATCATTTTTTAAAAATTTTAACGTTATTCATTTTATTCATGAGTATGCCTGATAATATATCTGTATACCACTTATGTGCCTGTGAAGGCAGAAGAGAATTCTGGATCCCCTAGAACTGGAGTACAGGTGGTCACCAGCTGCCATGTGGATGCTGGGTACTGAACCCAGGTCCTTTGCAACAGCTGCTTTTAACCAATCCTCTTGAACAGATTTTTATCAAAATATTTTCTTATATTTAGTGAAATGGCAATTCTCCATTAATCTGGCCATGTTATAAAGTAATAATAATGTGATCGTCTACTGTTAAATAAAACTATTTTAGGGATACAACAGGCCTAGTGGCTTCCACTTACTTTTCTTGGAGCTCCTAAACTATTTATTTATAGCTAAATAAGAATGACTTTGATTTTCCTTCTTGTTCAGTTCTTGTCTGATTCTGACGTCAAGGTTATAGTGGCTTCAGAGGATAAGTTAAGAATATTCTGTCTATCCCATGAATGCCGACAGAACTCTCTTAGAGAGAGCTGTGTGCACTCTGTTCTATAGTGCTTTGCTCCTAGCATCACTGCCATTATTTTCATCAGAGCAGCCGTGATGACTTGTAAGTGACCTTCAAGATGGAGCCTAAAAACTGGTATCCATCACAGAAGACGTTTTGGGAGTCACTGCACACTTAGTCACTTCCTCTTACATTTCTCAGATATTTGCATACAATTCTGCTCCAATCGCATGTGGCTTTGTACATGTGGCACGGGGTACACAGACTGTGGAAGTTGGGACTCCTATGTAGCTACAGGGATGTTGCTGTCCATTTGGGATGAGATTCTGTGGTGCTGTAGTTGCTTTGGGGTTATCCAGGCTTCTCACTTTTTGTTTTTATATTATTATTATTATATACTTTGTATGTAAGCCCAAGAAGCTCACTGTTTCCTCAAGTGGGACCTTGGCGGCATCATCTGTGGTGCTCTATAAGGACTGTGATTCCCTGACTAAGGTAATGTACTCCCTGCAAGAAAAGGCCATTTCTAGAATTTTCTCTTTTCTCCTTGTCCTCTCTGAGAAAGGTGTGGCCTGGAAGGTGCAAGATCAGGGAGCTACTGGCAGCACTAGTGTGGAACCTGGGAGAAAACTTTAGGTAAAACCTCACAGTCTTATTAGAAGACAAATAGAAGTGTGGAAAACTTGAGCTAAGCAAAAGCTTTCAAAAAGTATCACAGTACAGTTTACCTATGATTATAAATCAAATAGATAAAAGGATAAAACAGAAATAAACAAAAAAGTACCCAAATGGACATACTCAACGTTGGGGTTTTTTTTGTTTGTTTGTTTATTTGTTTGTTTGCTTGGTTGGTTTTGGTTTTTCAAGACAGGATTTCTCTGTAGCTTTGGGACCTGTCCTGGAACTAGTTCTTGTAGACCAGGCTGGTCTCAAACTCAGAGATCTGCCTGCCTCTGCCTCCTGAGTGCTGGGATTAAAGGGGTGTGCCACCACCACTCAGCTCAAGGTTGGTTTTTCAAAAAACAACTCACACAGTTGATAACCCATTTTACTAGTAAAAAAAGGTTAAGACAACGTAAAGAATCAAAGTGAAGAAATATATCAAAGCTTCAGTAGGTTAAAAAGATTAACGGGCTGTAGAGGTGGCTTAGGTTAGTTAAGAGCATTTGTTGCTTTTGTAGGAGATCAAAGTTCTGCTCCTGCGGGGCGGTGGTGGTGCACGCCTTTAATCCCAGCACTCAGGAGGCAGAGGTAGGCGGATCTCTGTGAGTTCGAGACCAGCCTGGTCTACAGAGCTAGTTCCAGGAGAGGCTCCAAAGCCACAGAGAAACCCTGTCTCGGAAAAAAAAAAAAAAAAAAAATCAAAGTTCTGCTCCCAGCATCCACATAGTGGCTCATAACCATTTGTAACTTCAGTTCCAGGGAATCTGACCTCTGTATGTCCCAGGTGTGAATATGTTTGTTTGTACTGAGACAAGGTATTGCCATATAGCATAGGCTGAACTGGAACACACTATGTAGCTGAGATCTAGAACGAAATTCTCCTCTCAGTCTTCTGAGTGTTGGGTGGATTACAAGAATGCTTCACCAGGCCTGGTTATGAGGGATTATTTAAATTACTGTTGGAGTAGACATGCTTCAAGTTGGATTGAACACTGAGTGAGGTTAACTCCTGCTCCCAATTAATTGTCTGGGCTTGTGAAACAGAAAATTAAGTACAGCAATCAATCAATCTAATTTCAACATGAGTTAAATTTGATGACTTTGCCATAATAATTACATGTAATCATTATGATTATAAAATTTCAAACTTTTCAATCAAAGACAACAGTTATTATTGGCTTTTTCTAAAAGTATTTCTGATCTACTTTCATCTTAACAGCCTGTCTGTTGGGGAGACATCAGGGAAAGCAGAGAGTGGAAGGGTTTTCAGGAAGTAAGACACATTCAGTACCATTTCCACAGCTTCTCACCCAGTCTGAATAAAAAGGAGAAAGTAAGCTGAGCATCAGCATTCATGTCTATGCTTCCTGAATGAGGATGTGACCAAGATGCCTTATGCTACTATTGCCATCCCTTCCCACCATGACGCAGACTGCACCTTCAAACTGTGAGCCACAACCAACATTCCTTCCTTAAGTTGCTTCTGTCAGGTGTTTTGTCACAGTAATAAGAAAAGTAACCAAAACAAAAACAAAAGGTGGCTTGAGCAAAAGTGAACATAAAGGCTCACTTACCTCCCCTTGGAAGCTCTTGAGCAGTGGTGCTACCTGCTTGCGCAAATCCTGGGTGGAAAGGAGGTCAGGAAACAGCCATGGGAAGAAAGAGAAGAACAACATGGGTTAGGATTCCTACGAAGGCTCTGTGCAGATTATTACCACAGAAAATCACAAAGCAAGGCCTTGTTCTAAGACAAAATGAAACAAAACAGTGTAACTTCTAACATGCACATGTGTGTGTGGTATATGTACATGTTCATGTGAGATGAATGTCTTCCTCACTTGTTCCCTTTTTTAAAAAAATATTTATTTATTTATTTGTTATGTATACAATATTCTGTCTGTGTATATGTCTGTAGGCCAGAAGAGGGCACCAGACCTCATTACAGATGGTTGTGAGCCACCATGTGGTTGCCGGGAATTGAACTCAGGACCTTTGGAAGAGCAGGCAATGCTCTTAACCTCTGAGCCATCTCTCCAGCCCCCTCACTTGTTCTATGCTTACTTTTTGAGGCAGGGTCTCTCAGTGGCCTGGAGTTGATTCAGCTAGGCTTTCTGGCCAGAGAGGCACCAGTGTCTCTGCCTTCCAACACTGGTATTATTAAGTACATGGCCCTGCACATCCAGCTTTTATGTGGGTGCTGGGGATCAAACTCAGATCCTCATGCTCACATGGCAAGACATTTTACCCACTGAGTCACCTCCCTTACCCATAGTTTCCTAAGGGTTCCATTCATACATGTGGAGAAACCAATATTTTTTGCTCCTCCACTGGATGATTCCTGTATTTTTACACTATGTTCAATGACAGAAAGCAATGAGATGCATTCACAGGCTTTTTTTTTTATTTTTTTACACAAACATTGCTACCTGTGGAGACTAATGGCCCCCAAAAGATATCTTGAGGCCTGCGAATACGTGAGTTCACACAGTAAAGTGACATTGCAGCTGTGATTATGTTAACAATCCTGAGATAGAGAATCCTGGACCATCCAGATGGGACTAATGTCATTAGAGTACCCAAGAGAAACACAGGAGTCCTTCCAAGAGAGAGTCAGGAGGGGACTCTGACACTGAAGCTGAGATTGGGAGTACAGGAAGATGTGGGGTCCTGGCCAGAGGATAAGCATAGCCTGGCAGAACTGGCACAGGCTGGAACCAGACCTCCCCAAAGCTTCTGGAAGGAATGCAGCTTTTGCTGGCACCTCTATGTCCATCTCGTAAATCCTGTTCTGGATTCCTACCCTCCAGCGGTGTTAGATGATGTATTCCTGTTGTTATAAGCAGATGGTAGCAATAGGGAATAAAATATTATTCTGTTCAGCCCACCACCCCTTCCAGAAGGACAGGATAAAAATCTAACAGTGAAGGGCAAAGAAAGATTAAAAGCAAGAATGACAGGAGAAAGATTTGTGTTTCTTGGGTTTGTTTGGTTTTTGAGACAAACTCTCATCTAAACCATTATGTAGCTCAAGATAACCTTGAACTTCCACCTCCCAAGGGCTGGAATTATACAGCCCTTCTTATAAAAAATTAATTTTATTCATTTATCATTTTGCATCTATCTTTGTACCTGCATGCAGGTGCCCACAGAGGCCAGAAGAGGGTGCTGGATCTCTTGGAACTAGAGTTACAGGTAGTAGTTAACGACCTGTGAACAGAAACCTGGCCCTCTGCAGGAGCAGCAAGCACTTTTAACCACTGAGTCATCTTTCTAATGAGCATTGGATGTAGTGGAGCACACTCGTACTTCCAGTACTTGGTAAGTAAAGGTGGGGAACCTCAGAAGTTCAAGGTCAGTCTGAGCTATATAAGAACTCGTGTGGTGTTCACAATCACTTTACATTAAGTCTTAGTATACTGGATATTTGCTACATGGCTCAGCGGGGAGGAGACACAGGGCCTGGTGGCACGCCCTTTGCCACAGGTGGTTGACCATCTCTATCATGGGTAGCTCATGCCAAGAGATGCATTTACAAATCAGTACTCTCCTGGGAGGGAGGGTCAATGGGAGAGGTTAAGATGCGGACAAGAACTCTAAGAGCCAGGAGAATGCAGAGCTAAACAGGAGTTCCCAAGAGAAGGGTGTTGCTTCTACAGAAAGCTGCAGAGCAAAGGACCAAGGGAAGACAAGACTAGATTTAGCAGCTGGGAAGCTCCAGGGAACAGAGAACAGCTGGAGTAGGTTTGGAAGCTGCCATAGCAAATGTGTTGAACCTTTAGTTAAAGCATAAGAGGAAAGGACAGGGAGGAACAGGGCACCAGCAGTCCTTAACCTTTGCCCAGTGATCCCATCTACACCATGGCTTGGAACATTGAACAGAAGGATGTCCACAGTTTAGAAGGGGAAGGAATTTGTCTAAGGTCAGGGAGCTGGACGAGTTAGGAACTGAACTCAGTCTCCCCACCGACCTTCCTCTCTAGTTCACACTAAGCTAAAATTGTATAAAGAATTAAATCACCACAAGTGTGGAATGGCATAATGTAGTAGCCACCAAAAGAGTAACATGGTACTGATGGACATGTGTGTCACTCAGACGGCTTATGAAAGTCACGTGTAGTGACTTGTGCACAAGGGAGGCTGACTCAGGAGGATGGCAAGCTCAAGTCCAACTGAGTTGTACCAGTCAGGTCCTCTCTTATAAAGCCTCATTCAGAGGATTAAGAGAAAAGCTGGGTAAGGTTACACAATGACAGAAATGAAGAGCCCCCAACATGGGGACCACAGCAGAGAAAGGGACATGGGAGCCTTTTATGGGTCAGTGGGGGCCCAAGTCCAGGTAGTCCCTGGGCTCCCCAAGCCCGCCTCTTGGTATAAAGTTGGCCTTATAAGAAAACTACTGCCTGAAGCAAGGAGGTAATAGAATTATCTCTGCATCCTAACAGGGTTCTAGGAAGGCCAGAGAGCTACACCTCTCAGGACAGGCTTGCCCTTTCTAATTATTTGGGGCTTTTTAAAATAGGATTTCACTGGACTTGAACTCGATGTAGTTAAGGATAACCTTGAACTCCTCAATCCCTCTGCCTCTACCTCATGGATGCTGAGAATACAGGAATATACATGCCAAGCTGGTGTGATCTGGGGATGGAATCCAGGGCTTTGCCAATTGGGCCACGATCCCAGTCCCTGAAGTAACCTTTTGATATTAAAGCCAGATGTGTATCTGTGTGCACACAGGTGCATGTGCACTCCCTACCCTTCCCAAAGGCTGATGGGAAGAAGAAATGACTATGTATTCACATGTCTCACACAAACTGACACAGATGCACTTCAAACCACCAGCTAAAAGTCACCCATTCTAATTTTATTTCTCAGCAGTTTGAGAAATGCCTTATCTCAATCTGCTGCCTGCAAATATTATCTGGTTTGTTACTAAACTAAGGAGAGAGACTCAAAGTTGCTCAGTTCTGGCCCACGGGACTCTGTCACCATCAGTTAGCATGGACAGGAAGTGATTTATCCTCTTTTTAAAGCATGGTGCCCTTTGTATTCTAGACAGCCACTGAAACCACAGTCTCTGCTGCTTCTGGTCTGGGGTCATCACTGTTGCAACCATCGTGACAATTGCCAACTGAAGAAAGGTGGGGTTCAGGTTGATTGAAACCATGCTGGAATGGTAACTGACATCTGTTTAAAAGCCCTAAGAATAGAGTTGAACACTGATTTGAGTTAAGGGTTTTTCAGCATTATCAATTTTTGTTCCATCTCGTATCCTCACTAAACAAAATGCAAAACAGGTCTTAATCACAGAAAGAGGTGCTCTTGTGGGAACATCTCATGAGGCGATAGTTCAGTCAGTTAGCTGCTTGCCGTGCAACCATGAGGACCTGAGTTTGATCCCTAGCACCCTGGTAAAAAGCTGGGCATGGAGAATCCCTGGGAATATTGGGGTTCGCCAGTCAAGCTGACTCACTGTGACACACATGCTAGTTAGAAGCCTTGTTTCAAAAAGCAAGATGAAAAATTCCTGGGGAATAGCATGAGATTGACCTCTGACCTCTACACAAATCTATACTACCTATACCTACACTACCTATAATCACAACATATATATACACATATATACATATGGTAAATGCATTTTTTAATTAGGGAAAAGACATGCCCTTGAAGAGATTACTATCAGATGTCTGTTGGAAAAGGCCAAAACGATTTGTTTGGCCCTCTCTCTTGAGCATATAGCATAAAAGGTTACATTACCAGAGAAACTTCTATGCAGAAACAATTTTCATTATTTTGGACTGGAGAGTTGGCTCAGCAGTTAAGAGAGTACATGTTGCCCTTTCAGATGACCTAGGTTTGACTCCTAGCACCCACATGGTGCTCACAACCATCTGTAACTCTAGTTCCAGGTGATCTGAAGCCATTTTCTTGTCTCTGTAAGCATCAGGCATGTGGTGCACATACATACAGACAGACAAAACACTCACATACATAAATAAGAAAATAAATAAATCTTTTTAAAAAAAAGAGTTGGTTGAGACAGTCACTCTGGCTTAAAAGGAAAAGAGATAAAATACAAAGAATGCTCCAACTATGTTCTTAGCCCTGCATTTAGGAGGTGTGTGGTCTCCATAAACATGTACTCAGAGGCCCTCATGGACCTGGACTGTTTGTTTATCTGAGGCCCAGAAGAAGTTACTGGAAGACTCTGTCCCTTCTTTGAGGTCTTAGGTCTCTAGTCCCTTGTGACATCTCTCCTGCTTCCAGCCCCTCAGACCTCCGGCTTAAGTATCACCTCAGGACCCAGATTTGCCTTGTTCAGAGTTGGGGCCCACCTTTCTTCGCTCCTTAATTTTAGCTCACATTTTCTTCTTGTGTCAATGTGTTTGAAAAGCTGGTAAAAACGGAAGACTGGTTTTCACAAAGGACCCTCAGAAATATTTAAGGTGAGGTGACATGTCACATAGCCACATAGGACTGGAAAACATCATTTATTAGGACTTTATGAAGCCTTCACTTTGCCTTCATTATCAAAACCTCAAAGCCAGAAAACTCTTAGTCAGGGATGGTGGTGTGAACTTGTGGTCCCAACACTGGGAAGATACAGACAGGCAGATTTCTG